ATAAATGTCAATGTGATATCAACCTTTTCCCCAATCTATAAATAACATATCTCTAATCAAAACACCATAATACTTCATAAGTTCACTTAAACTGATTCTAAAATTTTTAGGAAAGAGTAAGGGCCAAAGCTATGGTTAAAAGAAAAATTAGCTAGTTGTGGTGATGCACACCTGTAATCCCAGCAACTCAGAAGGCTGAGAGAGAAGGATCACAAGTTGGGAGACCAGCCTCAGAAACTTTTTAAAGAGACTCGGCTCAAAATAAAAAATAAAAAGGGCTAAAAGATGTAGCTGAACAGTAAAGTGCCCCTGGGTTCAAAAACAAGGAAGGGAGAGAAGAAGGAAAGTAGATGAGGAGAAACCAAACTTAATAGATAAAGACACAAGACAGGGGCTGGGGCTGTAGCTCAGTGGTAAAGCGCTTGCCTCTCATGTGTGAGGCACTGGGTTCAATCCTCAGCACCACATAAAAATAAATAAAACACACACTTACTGTGTGTTCATCTACAACTCAATAAATATTCTTTTAAAAAGACACATGACAAAATGCTAGTATTCAACACCGCATATTTGGAGCAGAAATAGAGAAATACATCAATGAAACAAAACAAAGACCAAAAATATTCCCAAGCATAAATGTTACCGCAACATGATTGAAAAAGAATGTCAACTTGAAATGTATTCTTCAATAAATGGTGTTTACACAACAAGCTTTGCATTTGTAAAACAAATCAAATTAGCTATCTCCTTCATACCATATTCAAGATATTAATTTAAAATTTTTGTAGAGGGAAACACAGAAATTCTTTATGACTTGGAGTAGGGGTATATTTTCCAAAATAAAAACTAAAAAAGTGAAAATTTTAACTATATCAAAATTTAAAATTTCTAGATGATAAAAAAAAATCCTTTTAAAATGTCATAGCATAAAAGAAAAGAAAAAGAAACCAAAAAAAAAAATATCATACAGGGCTAGAAGTACAGCTCAGAGATAAGCATTGCCTGCCACTAAGAAGGGTTCAAACCCCAGCACCACAGGGGGAAAAAACTCATGGACTAGAATATGACATTGGCAACAAATTAGCATTTGCACAGAGAAGAGTCCCCATGACACCATAACAAAGACCAAAACAAGCAGGAGAAAAGTGGGCAGATATAAACAGGCATCATGCTCAACTTCAGCAAAAGAAATGTAAATTCGGGATGGGTGAAGATACTAGGGATTGAAAGCAGGGGCTCCTAACCACTGAGCAACATCCCCATCCCTATTTTCTATTTTATTTAGAGACAGGGTCTCACTGAGTTCTAAGTGCCTTGCTAAGTTGCTGAGGCTGGCTTTGAACTCACAATCCTCCTGCCTCAGCCTCCCGAGCTGCTGGGATCACAGGCGTGCCCCACCACATCTGGCAGAAAATGGAAATTTTAAACATCATTTTACATTCATCAGACTGGCAAAATTTAAGTCAAGGACACATGGAAGCAGAAACGTTCACACACTACTGTTGGGTTATAAATCAGAACAACTATTTGGAAGTAATCTGGCAATACCTAATAAGGACGAAGCAGGGCTAACCTGATGAAAAAACTCCATCTCTGATTATTTCCTCTTCGGAAAATGGCACATGTACCTCAGGAGATATCTACTAAACTACTCTGCAAAATAGAAAAACTGGGAAAGGGCCATTTAAAAAAAAAAACAGAAAAAGCTATATATTCACATTAGAATTCTGATCTTAACCTGTGTATATTATCAGTGATAAGTTTTAAAAACAATATTGAGGAGAATTTTAAACATAACACAGAAAGTTACTATGAAATCATTTTTTAAATGTTTCAACTCATAAAACCATGTATTCTTGTATATACATAGTGTACAGATAGAACATGGATTAGAAATCTACCAGAAAAAATCCACCAGAGAAGGAAGAAAGCAAGAAAAGAAAGGGAAAGAACTGGAAAAGAAATGAGGGCTGGGATCCATCCGTAAGGTGTCGTTCACAGTTATGCACCATCTGACAACAGGCACAGCTGGTGAGAGGCACAGCTGAGTGGTGGTCACAGAGCGCATTTGCATTTGTACTGACTAAAACAGCTACACATCACTCGGTGTACAAGACCAGTCATATACGCACTTTGCACAAACTAAAACAGCTACACACAGTAAAATAGCTACAATGTCACTCGGTGACACAATCTTACAAGACCAGTCATATATGCGATCCACACTGCCCAAAACTTCATTACAGAGTGCATGACTGTATTCTGACATGAACATGAAACAAGTTACCATGTTCATTCTGGGTGGTGGGTTCATGGGTCTTTGTTAATATTCTTTGGCACTTTTTTGGAAAAATCAGAATTTTAAGGCTCTATTTAATGAAAAAAAAAAAAAAAAGCATCTCATGACTCGTGTGGAGCTCTCTTCTGGGCATCAAGCTTTGTCCTAGCAGCCTCCAGGCCTTCACACCTCAACTCAACACACAAAGTCCCTTCCTTTCTGATACTCTCTCCCCTCCCAGGTGTAGATGTGACATGGTCACCATCCATCCCTCTGGTGGAACTGTTCAATGACTTCCAAAGCTCTCCAATAACATTTAAAAAGAAAAGTAGAAAAAGAACTTTCTTCAAACAGAAGTCCAGACAAAAGCAGAGCCTGGGACAGACTTGGCACCAGTCTAGGCCCTGAGAGACGGACGCTTCAGAAACCATCTGAGTACTCTTGATGTACCAAACAAAGTGCCTTCGGGAGACACCTGGCCCTTCTCCACACTTGCAGTCCAATATCACTAGGGCTTCTCCTTCCCTCACTACCGTCTCGCATCGAGATCCATCAGAACCAGAAAAAGCTGGTTCTGCACAAAAGCTTTTCTTCTACTTACTAATGTTCAGTGATGGGTTAAACCCAGGGCCTTGCACATTTCAGTCAAGTTCTTTACCACTGAGCTACACTTCTAGCCCCTCTTTCCTTATTTGATGCCATGTACCTCCTGGAATTTGTCTTCAGAACAAGGTCTCTGGGCACAGAAAACAGGTTCCACTCCCAGTACCAAGACAAGCAGTGGGCCAAGAAGGGAACCAGTACCCTCTGCCTGTCCCGCCCCCTCCGTTTTGCCCGAGCATCACCTTACCTTGCCTTCTGGGATCTTTCTCTCTCAACACTTTCAGCCAACAGCATAACTATTCTTTACTCCCACCTCTTTGACAGTTTGTCGTCTTCTAGCTTCTGCCACTGCTAAGGTTCTGACAGCCCAGTCTGAGAGCTTGCCCGTCTTTTGACAGTGAATGAAATCCCACTAACAACTGTCTTCAATTCCCCTCCCTATTAATGATGACAGGTTAAATGGCACAGCCAACTGAGTGCTGCTCACAGTTTTAAACGACAGCACATTAAAGCAAAAGGTACAAGGTTAGTCTTTTTTAGCTGATGCACTTAACAAAGTTAAAATCTAACCTCCTGCTTTGAAAGTCAGAAAGTCTAATCTGTCCACTCAGCATGGAATGATCAAGTTCTGGGGCATGCACATTAATAAATTCACAAAAGACGATTCATCCTACAGAATGTCAACTGTTATAAACTGAACTATGTCCCCACAAACGCTGAAGCCCTAACTCCCAATGTGATAATATTTGGAGAAAGGAATTTTAGGAAGGTAATTAAGATCAAATTAGGTTATAAGGATGGAATCCTAATGTGACAGGAGTATGGCCCTACAAGAAGAGAGGCCACAGAGTAGCCCCACTCCCTCTACACATTCACAAAGAAAAGGCCATGTGAGGAAACACTGAGAAAGAAGGTAGCCCTCTGCAAGCCTGGAAAAAAGAGACCTCATCAACCATGACAGCATCTTGAACTTGGACTTTGAGCCTCCAGAACTATGATAAAATAAATATCAGTTATTTAAGTCACTCAGTGCAGGGTACTTTGTTATGGCATCCTTGGCAGACAAATATTCCCATTTATAAATTTAAAATAAGGATACAGCAGACCAATAATGCCTATTATCAGGGATAATCCATTAGGGCATCAGTGTTTAGAGCAAGAAAATCAAAATCATGGTCTGTTATCCAGTAAGAAAGGAACTGGAACAAGGTTCCTTTAAATCTTCTCAAGGAATCTGGAGTATACTTTCTAATGATCTTCATACTCACAATCATCAAATAAGGCCTTGGCCTTCCCTTCAGTAAATTCTACCCAAGCTCCCTCCGTCCACTCCATCCCAGTTCTGTCCTGCCCACAGAGACTGTCATAATATTACACAACTACTAACCACCTACAATTTTTAAGATCAGAGCTTATCTTACAAGAGCTACATATAGGGGCCAATCTTTACTTCACTCTTGATTGATATACTCACTCCAAATATAACCTAGGATTTAGGTAGCACCCAAGAATTCTACCTATAAATAACCAGCCTGTCCTTAGGAAAATAAGAGTGCCTAGAAGGAGCTTGTACAAAACGTGAGGTGGTTCTTTTAAGCTTATCGCTCTCTACTAAAAATTAAACAACAAAACACTTCTGGACTCAAAAAAGCAGCAGGCCACTCATTTCCACACACACAAAAAAAAAAAAAAACTTTCAATAGAGTGAATATCTATCTTTCAATAGACATGAAGTTACTAAGCTAATACAACTGTACTTTTTAAGGTTACAAATTAGCCTTAAAAACCCAGACACACTTTTTCTAGGCAGTTCAGACATTTATGATTAAATCAAAGTCCCCTGCCAACCACCCAAGATGAAACTCCATTGACAGTGACAAAGGGCTTTCTCAGGGGAACCAAAAGACTACAGCACTGCAGTTAGGTCATAGCTACCACCAACAGCGACATTCAGGAACCAGGCATCAAAATAGCCAGCCCTTCCCAGAAACTAGAATAATCTTCTAAAAGAAGATGGTGAGTAAAATAATATGCCTTGGAAAACAGAACTGGAATGCTTAGAAATGAGAATGCTGAGAAACACAACCCTTAAAACACCCGAGGGTAGAGCTTTACTTACATGAAGGAATAATGAACTGTGGCTCAGTGTTGCCTGCGTAGCCAAGCTTGGTATACCTAAAAGCACAAAGTCATCAACACAGGTTTAGATAACAATGTTCTTGTCTATATCCCACCAATGTCTTTTATTATCAAGTTCTCCAAGTCCTAAAATAGTGAGCCTCGGAACACTCCCTAGAAAATTTTTTAAAAACTCTGTGATCTCTGAATATCAATGAAAGTAGGTTGGTTTGGTTGGTTTTTGTACTGGGGCTTGAACCCAGAAGGGCTTTACCACTGAGGTACATCTCCAGCTCACTTTTTATTTTGAGACAGGATCTCACTAAGGTGCCCAGGCTAGTGATTGGGATTACAGGTGTGCACCACCAGGCAAAGCTCAAAGAAAGTAGTTTATAGCTACTTAAAATGCTAAACTTCTACTAGAATGATGGCAACACATATAGTAACACACAAAAGCTTCATTTGTATCCCTAATGACACTTAAAATTACTTTCATACTCTATAAATCTTTACAAAAGCAATGAAGAAAGTGGATATTATTCCTATTTTGCAGATAAGAAAACAGAGGCACTAAGAAGTTAATTAAGTTGCCCAAGGCCAAACTGTCAGTGAACTACAGAAAAAGAGCCCCAATTTAACTTGGCAGGCTAATTCCCACACAGTTCTGTAGGAAGTATATTTATTTCCCAAACTTCCTGTATTTTGCAAGGGGGGGGGGGGGGAATTAGAAAATGATCACATAATTTTTTTAAAATGTCATGCATATGTCTAGAAACAGCTACTGCTCTGAGAATCATCTGACAGGAACACCTCCTTTATCATTTCATTTCAGAAGAAGCCCATTTTCTGTCAAGATATTCTGTACGATAGATTCCAGAAGTCTTCACTAAAACAAATGCCAAAATACTACTATCTGTTCCAAACGCATTTGCTAATTTCCTAAATATAAAAAGAGGGGTAAAAAAGCACCACTCCGACCATCTGCTAGAGAGGATCAGTTGAGAAGCAGCCAGTGAACTGAAGGCTCCTCAGCACTTCCCATCAGGGCTGTTCTCATCCACAGCCAGGTTGGGACAGCCACACCCTAAGCTGTAACAGCACTGATCCCGAACAGAGCTTCTGGCAGTGTAAAAGCAGCTTTATGAACTCATTCTATTCAATTAATTATTTCTAGATGCCTGTTTTGTTTTGTACTAGTAGGGATTGAACCCAGGGTCTTGTGCATGCTAGCCAAGCACTCTGCCACTCAGCTACATCCCCAGCCCTTGATATTAAGTTTTTGAAAATTTTTAATGTGGTAATACTTCTAAAGATTTATCCTTGAGATTTTTAAATGGATCTTATCACATGGTAGTAATAATTTAACTTCATGATTTTTAAATGTACTTTACAATATGGTAATCTTAGTATTTTTGAACACATAGTAAATGGGAAGGATTGGGGAGAAGAAAAAAAATAGTCAGCTGTCCTTAAATCACACCATACTGCTCAGCCTCCAGGGATACAAGTTCTTCATGTCACAGCAGTCAGGATGAGGCCAAGCCCTGAGATCCTGGCCCCACAGGATAAGACCCATCTGAAGCCCTCACAAGTCCACAGACTTCAGGTCTAGGATAAGGGTACACAAGCAATTAGAGCAGTCACTCCCAGGTCCACAGACCCACAAAGGAAGGTTTCTAAGCCAAACCAGAACTGGGGACTTTCCAGAATGGAGCAACAGAGACTTCAAAAAGTTCTAGATCATCCCCAATTTGAGCATCATTCTGGAAATAAACTCCAGATGATAAACTTAAGTAAACAAGTTACTAACCCAAGGCAAAAGCAGCCCATAGTACCCAATGAGCAGACCAGAAACCACCAAAATCATCAAATCTAATCATGTGTTTAACAAGTCTTATCACTTTACTCCCCTAAAAAGAAACCATGCACTTGAACTTAAACCACTTAAGTAAATCCAACTTCCCACACCATTAAGACTATGAGGTCCGTGATGTAGGGAACTGGATCCTTCACAAATGCACATCTACTCACGGTGCCTGGTATGTGGCAGACAGTTCATGCATCTGAATGAATTCTTCCCAGGTGTAAGAAAAGGTAAGCACTGTCAAACTGCTGAGATAGGGACCAATGTCTGAAAGGGGATGCAGAAAGTCAGGAAAAAAAATGGTGGAACCAGAAAAGACTGGAGACTTTCTACTTAATCCCATAAGTACCACACATGTCTGTTACATTATTTTTTTTATTTCCTATATTTTTTATTAGTTAATAAGACCATGCACTTTGGCACCAGACTGCCTGAGCTCAAATCCCAGTTCAGCCATTTGCCAAATTTGGAGGAGTTACTTTTCTTCCATATGTGTTAGTTTCGCCATCTGGAAAATAGAAATAATAATACAACCCACCTCCTACAGTTAGTATGATAATGGGGTTAATATATGTAAGAATGGTAGAACAACATTGATATTATATAAGATTCACTTATCTTTCTATTATTTTTCTGTATCTGTGAAATATTTTCTTATTTAAAATTTTGAAAAGTAGCCGGGTATGGTGGCGCATGCCTATAATCCCAGCAGTTTGGGAGGGTGAGGCAGGAGGATCAAGAGTTTAAAGTTAGCCTCAGCAAAAGTAAGGCATTAAGAAACTCAGTGAGACCCTATCTCTAAATAAAATACAAAACAGGGCTGCCAATGTGGCTCAGTAGTCAAGTGCCCCTGACTCAATCCCCAGTAGCCAAAAAAAAAAAAAAAAAAAAAATTGTGTCCCAAGCCATAGTTTCCATTCTTTCTGCAGTACAGCATGGCCGGTCTGGTTTGTGGAGCAGTGGGATGGAATGCACACACCATGAAACACAGCTGTTGAAGGATATCTGTTATCTCTAGAGTCACTAGAAGATAACAGATATTCATTAACAGATAACAGCTATGTCTCATCTCTTTCCCACCATTCTGAAACCTGAACTAGAACTGTGGCCCAAGCAACAAGAGCTCAGACTACAGAAATGGAATGGAGCACTTTTAGGCTCACAGTTCTAAAATTCAACTACATATTGACAATGCCACTCAGCAACAGGTGCTGGAACATGAAGACCCTAAGCCACAGGGTTCTGTCAGACAACAGGAAGGTCTTAAAAGGAGGTCTTGAAAGGAGGCCTCTGTTAATAGTCTCAGGAGTACCTTAAGCATCAGTAACATTGAACAAATAGTGGTTTTCCTGCCTAAGGCAAACTAACATGAAGACATAGTTGTATTCCTATGTACTAACAGTTTATTGTGAGATGTTTCCTTACCATCCTAGCAGAACTAAAGCCATATTAAATTCAATGGCAAAAGTACAGAGGATCTAGATCACTTTATGGCAATTTAAAATCTTTCAATTTTCCTATACTATTCTTTAAATAGCATCAAATACACCTGAGGTTTTGTATATTTTGAATAATCACAATATAATGAGTGTTTAACAAGATTTTTCCAAAAAAGACACTTAAGTTTAAAATTTTAATAAACTATCAACACAGGCTCACACCAACCTTCAGTGAGAATCTATCAACTGCAACATTGCACACCTCAAATTCTTTCCTAGAAGGACAACCTGATACTAGACTATCATACCCCATCAAAAATGATCATGGCCAGGCGCAGTGGCACAAACCTATAATCCCAGTAGCTCAAAGACAGCCTCAGTAACTCAGTTAGGCCCTAAGCAACTTAGTGAGACCCTATCTCAAAATAAAAAATTTAAAAAGGACTGGAGATGTGGCCAGTGGCTAAGTGGCCCTGGGTTCAATAAGAAAGAAAGCCAGAGAGAGAGAGAGAAATGCTCCTAAGAGCCAGATGTGGTAGCACACACCTCTAATCCCTGCTACTCAGGAGACTGAGGCAGGAGGATCACAAGTTTGAGGCCAATCTAGGCAACTTAGTGAGACCCTGTTTAAAATAAATTTAAAACACAGGGGAGCTGTGGACATAGCCCAGGGCTTGCCTAGCATGTGTAAAGTTCTGGGTTTGATCCACAATATGGGGGCGAGGAGGGTGGAGGGATGGTTGTGTGACAGTTCAACTACTCAATGCACAGGACCCTCCCCAAAAAAAGAGTCAACAAGTAAACACAATTCTTAAATCTGGAAAGTCAAGACCCCATGTACAAAAACAAACTTTTCTCATTTCAACCAATTTACCAAAATGTAAACCAAATAGCCAGCACTGTATTAGTCACTGAAGACACTGGGAAGCAAGGGAGCCCAAAGGTCTCCAAAGTGATTCTCAAAATGTTTACCTATTAGAAATATGACTTCACATTGAGGGAGCCTGGCCCACTTTATATAGCAGGCAAGTTTAAGATCATCTGGTAGGCATTCAGAAAATATCAGCCACACCTGTGAAAATCCTAACATACAAATTCCAAGGTCCTGTGAAAGACTCACAAATGGGAGTCTCCAAAGGGGTCTGCACGCAAGTATTTTTAATATCTTCTGCCCTTCCACCATGGTTCTAAAGGTCAACCAGCTCAGAAATCCTGACCTCAACTACACCACTGGCAATCATCTTCACACTGTTTTATAATGCAAGCCCCCAACCTCACATTCACATTCCAACAAACCACCCACCACTCACCACATTCACCAAATAAAACATACCAATGTGTTGAAGTATAACACTAATCAGAGGTACAAAAGTAGGGACCCAGATGTGACAATTTTGTCTTATTATTTAGAAACACTGTGCATTTCAGTATTCTATGTCTATTTAAAAATGCTTTTCAATTCGAATTACTTATGAAATGTAGTTTGTTTTAAAAAATACTAGGCTCAAGTAATAGCGAAAAACAGAAGCATTTAATCCTTATGAGATGATGGAGGGGTAATCAAACCAAATGATAATAAAATACTACTATATCTCTACAAAAGTGAAAATTAAGCCAGGAGACCAATCATCACTCTCTCATTTAACATTGTTTTGGAGGAACTAGATATTACAAATCACCAGCAACAATTTTAAAAACTACATAAAAGGAATAAACATTGGATAAGAGACAAAAATGTAATCATTTGGGAAGTT